TCTTAACACCGCATTCCGTGGTGGCAGCACGTAATGAGTTAAAATTATGTGCCGGTACCACGGAAACAATGCCAATGTAAAGTCAATTAGAATCCATTGTTGTGGTGGACACACGGATTCCCTGGTTCAACAACGTCACGTCAACCTCGTTTTCCTCAATGATATCGTTAACATTCCTGTATACACACAAAAACACAAAAGTGTCCTTGATAACTCAACAATATGATAGGTTAATGTTAAGGCCATAAAATAAAATAAATGTATTTTGCTGGCTTTTGATAGTGTAAGGCTTTAAGAGCATTGTGCTGTGGGCGGATGTGGCATGTTCGACTACTGTTTTGTACTGTCTGCCATCTGTGGACTTCATTCCATTTCAAATTGCCATCCGTCTGCCACAACTGAATCCAAACGCCACTATCTCTGTTAAGAAAAGATTGTCTGTGTGTGTGATGTTTGTGTGTGTGTGTGTGTGTGTGTGTGTGTGTGCATCAAATCTTGTACCATGGCAATATAAACAGGATGAAGAAGGGATTTCTGGACTATTATCAATCAATCAATCAATCGTTATTTATAGAGCATAATACAGCATACAATAAAACGTAGCACAAAGTGCTTTACATGTTAAAAGCAGAGCCCCCATCCCCAACAGATCCCCCACAGACCCCCTCACCTCCCTCACCTCCCTCATCTCCATCCCAATGTGATAATAAAATAGAAGAAAAATAAATAAACAAATTAAATAATAATAAGAAAAAAAATAAGGCTGAGCACAGAAGAACCAGAGAGGAAACAGCATCACGTGGAGCCATCCGCATCGGGAGGCCAGGGGAGAGCAGACCCCAAGCCAGCGCCACACCAGCCATAACCAGCGGCCACCCCCCGGTGCAGACGGCTCCCACTGAGGAAACACTGGGGTTAAGAACTAAACTATGATAAATTACATAAAATATTAAGATGTAGGCCTAACATAAAATACATTTTTATTAAATAAATTAAAACATATGGCCTACAGTAGATAAACGTAGAGCATGCTAAAATTTAATACAATAATAGGCTAAATAGTATATAAGCAAAAATAAATTGTGTCTAAACAATAATAAATAGCATTTAAGTTATCTATTAGGCCATTCCACTCTGTAAATATATTTTAAATTTTCAATATAATTTTAATATTATTTATGCTTATTTCATTATTGTTATTATTGGTTTACTTTTTAGTAGTGTTGTATTTTCTGAGGATGACTAATTTTAGTAACTATTTACAGTAAAAAAAAAAAAAAACAACAACCAAAGAATCAAACAAAAAAATTCATTTTATACACCTGGAGAGTAACATATGTCAGTATGAAGATTCTATATGGCTCCTACTTTAAAATACTGACCTTTGAACCTTGACCTCAGTGCTTGTTTGAAGGCTTATAATTCAGCAACAAAAGGGCGTACAGACATGGGACCAACTGATATAGAGAGCTCTTGACCTCAACTATCAGTGTAGTCAACAACTGGGGGTGCTGTCAGGTATGGGTAAAATATGGATAAAATTAATTTTCACCCATTTAGAAATTAGATATTTAAAATTTGATTACACAAGTGTGTTTACCATCCCCTTAAAGTCCACAGTGTACTCTCAATTCAGTATTTACAACTTCCAAATCTAGGAAAAACACTTATCTTTTTTTAAAACTACAATTCCCTGGGACTTCGCCATGCAGCTTGATACATATCAGCAACATAGTTGTAGTTCTTCTGATTTGCAATGTAGGGTTCTAAATAGGGTTGTAAAAAGATATATATACCCAATATATCTAATATCTAGTAAAGCCGAACTAGTTATTACACTGCACATAGATGAACTATGTTAAGAAAAATAGATCTAATACCTAGTAAGACCGAACTAGTAATTAGCAGCTAGATGAACTATGTTAAGAAAAAGTAAGGATGTTGGCTAATTTTCGGTATTTTAGCTAGTACTCTAGAAATGGCATTTTTGGGACGGTAGTTTTTTGCAGTTTGTAAAATAGAGTTGAAAAATAGGGTTGTAAAAAGATAGATCTACTGAATATATCTAATATCTAATAAAGCCGAACTAGTAATTACACTGCACCTAGATGAACTATGTTAAGAAGAAGTAAGGATGTTGGTTAATTTTAGATATTTTACCTAGTACTCTAGAAACGGCGTTTTTTGGGAAGGTAGATCTTCCAGTGGTAGAGTTGTCAAATAGTGTCGTAAAAAAGTAAATCTACTGAATATATCAAATATCTAGTACAGCCGAACTATCATGTTATTATTATTATTGAGGGGAAATTATGACAGGAATATATTTGCCGTTTTAATATCAAGAACACTTTCATGTTTTTGTGTGTATACAGGACGTTGTTGAACCAGGGAATTTGTGTGTCCCCCACGACAATGGATCCTAATTGACTTTATACTGGCATTGTTTCCGTGGTACCGGCACATAATTTCAACCCATTACGTGCTGCCACCATGGAATGCGGTGTTAAGAGGTCGTGGTCATTCCACGTATTTCTGTGAGATCAGGTTGTGGATTATCGTGTACGACACTCATTGTTGTTCACAATCTGAGCCAACACCATATGATGCTGCACCAGGCTATGATCGGGCTGATATCATGTAGTCTGAAACCGACATTAGAGTGTCTAACATAACAATGTGCTGAGGTGAAATACAGAGACCTTCCTGGTTCAGAGTTCATCTCTTTGTCTTATTCTAGCAATCAAGAAAACCTAAGCATGGCACAAAATATTTTTATAGGTCAATGAAAAAAAGTTGTAAATGTGTACTCAATGTTTTTATGTTCATATGACACCAAATTAAATGCTCATACTGACAGACAATACTGTCAGTATGAGCATTTAATTTGGTGTCATAAAATAAAATAAAATAAAATGCTCATACTGACAGACAATACTATCAGAGAAGGGTCAAATGACACATTTATTATTCTTTAGGGATGCACCGAAATGAATATTTGTGGCCGAAGCCGAATAATATTAAACGCTTGGCCGAATACCGAGTACCGAATACCGAATATCGTTGTTTAGTTTTTCATTAGTTTTTGCAGATGAACCCCCTCCAGATTAGTGTTGTCAGGGTACCAATATTGGGACCCACTGTACAGTACCAATGAAAATATCATGGTTCTGAGTAGTATCATGATATCACAGCGAAAATGAGGCAGATGTGCCTTTTGTCATTTATAAAAAGATAAATCACTTTTCTATAATACATCAATGATATTTCAATGGAATAAATTACTTATTGACTTATTCATACTTCAAAAACAGCATCAATGAGTGATGAACATAGGGGATCAAAATAAAATAAATAAATAAAATAAGAATCAACCAGCCACCCTCCTCCCCTGACAAGTCCCTTCATAAGTAAAGAACAGTCCCTAAAGTGCGGTGAGGTTTGTGGGCCGTGAACGGCTCGTTTATCCTCCGACACATCACATACCTGTGTTCGGCTGGCTCGGCTGTTCAGGTACATCTGGGCAGTCATGACGCCAAGAAGAGGATATTATTGGAGCCGACTTCTCCTCGCCGGTAAGCCGATGGCCGCCATATTTGACAGGAATAGCTACATTACTGTCTGTGTCTGTGACCCCCGTTCAACCCACAATCAGTGGGATTTGCCTTTCGTTTCTCCTGGTGGTTGAAATCTGTAGGCTGCTCGCACAGCGTGCTGAATGATTTAAGCCTATTTTGCTCGCTCAAAACTATTTTTAGTCGCAAATGCGAGTGCAGTGATGGACGGATTGCCACACTGCCGACATTTTAATCCGCCTGTCACGGCACGCTGTTTGATTGCGTTATCAAAACCGCGCCGCTATTATTCGGCCTTGCTTTTAACTTATTCCACCGAATACCGAATGTGTGTTTTTTTGCAATATTCAGCCGAATATATTCGGTTACCGAATATTCGGTGCATCCCTATTATTCTTGAATCTTGAATCTTGAATTATGTGTCTGGTGTACTCAAAACTTTTATGTTACTGTATTGTACTGAACTAAAAGTTTCGAGTATCCCTATGCAAAATGTCTTTTACCACAACATTAACTGTAACCCATTAGAACCATTGTAAAATACATAAACATTAATCACTGTGTTATGAGTTATGTGGGTGATTTACAACAATCAACACAGTTTTCTTCAGCTTATGGCCTTAAACACATTGTCTCACGGCATGCTGGGAAACTCCACCCACTTAGACCCAACATGCCACAATATGTTAACTGCACAATGATAGTATTGTTTATTGGCCTTGAACTTATTAGGCAAAATAGGCTTTATAAATTTAAGTCAAATATTGACAATCCGGGGCATTTGTGTAGACTTTACATAACATTTTGTGTCATGGATTGGGGTTTACAGTGTAATGTCTCATTATTTTAAATGCAGGCCTCACGTCTTGTCTATAATTTCAGGCCCAAAGCCTCCTGCTCCCAGGCTTCCCTGAATAAATCTGACATATCATTTCAACCATCCATCACATTGTAGAACCTCTAATGTGTATGGATGCATCGCTAACAGGCTGTCTAGTAGTGCAAGCTGAGGTTTCTCTTCTTCTTAAGTAAGTGTAATTGGTTCTCAGGTCTTTCTTGTGAAAGAAATCTTGATCTCAATAAGATTTTGTGAATAAATAAAGATGGACTGACTACAGTAGATGTAAAAAGAAGAAATGTGAGGCTGGGGGCTGATATTGTCGCTGTTGAACAGAAGAGACATAGTCATCAGTGCATGACAAACTTCTGCCACCAGACTGAAAATAAAAGGTTTTTAATGCATCATCTTGCAATTAAAGGGTGAGGATTGTTTTAACTGGGCAGTTAATCAGTGGTTGCAGTTGTTCCTCTTCTCTTTAAGGTCATCAGAGTCACTGCGTCAAGTTTGATTTCAAACAGCGGACAGGTGTTGTTGATGTGGTCAGTATGGCAGCTCTTCCATTCTCCTCTGTGTATTGCTCTGTGCAGCCCGAGGAGCTGACCCTGCTCCTGATCAAGCTCCGCCGGCAGCAGGCGGAGCTCAACAGCCTGCGGGAACACACAGTAGCTCAGCTAATGGCCCTGGGTATGGAAGGGCCCAACGCTAAGGTCAGCACTGAGTGTGTACAGCACGTGTGTCTGCATGCACGCATTTGTGCTTTCCCAACCAAACAGTCAAAACTCCATATTCTGTGTGTTAATATTCGCCTGGGGGAGTTCTTTGCATCACTTTACTCCAAATGAAATTGCTTTTAGTGTGTTCTGAAACATTCTATGAACTGAAGACTGTGCACTCACTTTGACTCAAGCTATCTCTTTTTGTGAGGCAGTTCAAGTCAAATGGTCCACCATTTTGTGTCTAACCTTTAGATCAGTTGTCAAGAAATTTTGTTTAGATGTCTATGATTGCCAGAGGAGGAATCCCAATGACTTTGTTGATCCCTTAACTTTTAGTCTGGTGCTATTAGGAAGTTGAAGATTCCAAATCTCCCAGAAACATTTTCACAAATGTGTTTTGGAATAGTGTTTTCCAACTGGTCCATCCACATGGTCCAGATTTCTCCTTAGTAATTAGTTCAGGGTCCACACAGTGAAATATATTCAGCATCACACTTGCATTTGGCCATGCTGTCAAGCTATATTGAAAAAATTCACTATACTTTAAAATAAAGCATGTTTTTTACAAACTTGATACATTTGTGAGTCACTTGAAGTCCATTCAGAATAGACCTGCGACCCACTTTTGGACTGGGACCCACTAGTCGGGACCCAATGGTCTAGATAGTCAAGGTTCCCAAACAATGAATTCTTCTGACTCTGATGGTCTGGTGACTTGGGTCAGCAGCCAGCACCCTGCACCAGCAAGTTGACATTTTCAGAACTGCCATGAAATGGTCGATATTAATGTTGATGGATGAACTATTATACATTTTGTGGGCCCCTTTCAACAAACTGAATAAATGGCCAGTTGATCCCTACAAAACTGATTCTGTTCTTAAAGCCGCTACAAGGAACTTCTAACTGGATATGCAAAAGTCTCTCGTTTCTGCTGATGTCTGTGCGTGACCTACAACAGCAAATGAGACCATTGGTGTGAAGATAAGCTATTTCTATATAGTGTATATCCATACCTTTAGGAAACTGTGTCCGGGTCCGCCCCAGGTCGCTTCCAGGACGAAGCGATTTACGGCACTCAGACGGCACACTTCATCTTACCTAGCTGCTTACATTTATAGTGACTCTTATAAATAGTCGCTATTCCTCCTCCTCGACCCGACGTCCGCGGGGAGTTAAAATAGCAGCAATCATCGGGTAAAAGTTCTGTGAAAGCACTGGACTCACCAACAGTCAGCCATGTCTCAGTCACACAGAGAAAATCCAATCCTCAGGAAGTCAGGAAATCTTTCAGGATAAACGTTTTGTTCGCTAGTGATCTAGCACTTACCAGCCCAATCCTGGCAGGAGTCGGCGGGTCCACGGCGTTAGCTGTCCAGGGAGCCACACACAGAGGCCGCAGGTTGCGCAGATTCACCCCACGCCAACACCTCATCCGGGCCGACGACAGGTACCAGCCAGGCATCGACAGGGGCCGTGGAAGTGCTCGCCAAACAGGCCTTCAGCCTTACCAGCAGACCACTGCGTTTACCCTGGTGGCAGTGGTGCTTATGCCGGAGAGGTGGAGCTGGGGCGCGGCAGAGGTGAGCTGGGATCCCAGATAGGAGCGGGGGCAAAGTTTTCCTGTCTTGTTGTTTCATTCATCCCCAAAACAAACACATGCGCGAGTCAGGTAAGCGTCTTTACGATAATACGCGCTAGAGCTCATGGGAAATGTAGGCTTCATTCCGACAAAACACTACCGCTTTTGTCCACAGGGTCGCCAAATTCAACTCAAAATGAAAGTTCCTTGTAGGGGCTTTAACTATCACTAAGCATGTGGTACAATCCTTTGGTAAACATCTCAAAATATTACAGCATAAATGTTACAGGTGCTAGTAGCAATGGTATCAGTTACAGAAAACACAGTTGGCTGTGTTGACAGGTAGGAAGTCATTGAAGGATCATGTCCCCCTGCCAGTGAGGAGCTGGCAGTGAATAATTGTAACACACCATTGGGCTGATGAACAAGACATACCTCTGCTTGTCTTAGAGTAAGGACATGTCTGTCCTTTTTCCCCACGTCAACAGTGCAGTTACAAGTAATGATAGCAGTGGTGCAGGGTAACTGGGTTTTGGTTTTTACAAAGCAAAATCCAGAATACAGCGCCTTGCAAAAGTATTCACCCCCCTTTGCTTTTTAACTATTTTGTTAGATTCCAACCTGTAATTTAAATGTTTTTCATCTGAAAATTTCATGTGATGGATCTGCACAAAGTTATCTAAGTTGGTGAAGTGAAATGAGAAAAATATATATAAAAGAATAATTTAAAGAAATAAAAAAGTGAAAATTGGCATGTGCATATGTATTCACCCCCTTTGCTATGAAGCCCCTTAAAAAGCGCTGGTGCAATCTATTACCTTCACAAGTCACAGAATTAGTTAAATGAAGTCCACCTGTGTTCAATCTAAGTGTCACATGATGTGTCAGTATAAACACACCTTTTCTGAGAGGCCCCAATGGGCTGCAACTCCACTTAGCAAGAAGCATCACATCATGAAGACCAAGGAGCTCTCCAAACAAGTCAGGGACAAAGTTATAGAGAGATACAAGTCAGGACTGGGTTATAAAAAAATATCTACATCTTTGATGATCCCCCGGAGCACCATCAAATCCATAATCACCAAATGGAAACAACACGGGACCACAACAAACCTGCCAAGACAGGGCCGACCACCAAAACTCACAGACCGGGCAAAGAGGGCATTGATTAGAGAGGCAACAGAGAGACCAAAGGTAACCCTGAAGGAGCTGCAGAGTTCCACAGCAAACACTGGTGTGTCTGTCCATAGAACCACAATAAGCCGTACACTCCATAGAGCTGGGCTTTATGGAAGAGTGGCCAGAAAAAAGCCTTTACTTAGTGTTAAAAACAAGAAAGCACGTTTTGAGTTTGCCAAAAAGCATGTGGCCGACCCCCTAAATGTATGGCGGAAGGTGATCTGGTCAGATGAGATTAAAATTGAACTTTTTGGCCACAAAGGGAAATGCTATGTCTGGCGGCAACCCAACACATCCCATCACCCCAAGAACACCGTCCCCACAGTGAAACATGGTGGTGGCAGCATCATGCTGTGGGGATGTTTTGCAGCAGCAGGGACTGGGAAACTGGTCCGCATAGAGGGAAAGATGGATGGTGCTAAATACAGGGACATTCTGGAGCAAAACCTGTTTCAGTCTGCCTGTGATTTGCGACTGGGACGGAGGTTCACCTTCCAGCAGGACAATGACCCGAAGCATACTGCTAAAGCTACGCTTGAATGGTTTAAGGAGAAGAAGTTAAATGTGTTAGAATGGCCTAGTCAAAGCCCGGACCTCAATCCAATTGAAAATCTCTGGTTTGACTTGAAGACTGCCGTTCACAAGCGGAAACCATCCAATTTGGGGGAGCTGGAGAAGTTTTGCCATGAAGAATGGGCAAAAATCCCAGTTGCAAGATGTGGCAAGCTCATAGAGACTTATGAAAAGAGACTTGCAGCTGTAATTGCTGCAAAAGGTGGCTCTACAAAGTACTGACTTCAGGGGGGTGAATAATTATGCACACTGAAGTTCTTTGTTTTTGGGCCTTTTTGTTGTTTGTTTCACAATAAAAAAATTTTTTCACATCTTCAAAGTTGTTGGCATGTTCTGTACATGAAATGATGCAAATGCTCAAACAATACATTTTAATTCCAGGTTGTGAGGTTTTAAAACGTGAAAAATTCCTAGGGGGGTGAATACTTTTGCAAGGCGCTGTATATGGCAGTAGTGATGACAAATAGTAAAATCAAACTCCAGCTTCAACACTTCACACAGTGACAATATTACTATAGGCATCAGGTAAGTTAGAGATGTCAAAGTTAGAGCACCCCAAATTCAATTTCATTTGGAGTATTGTCTTAGCATTAATGCACACGCAGGCTGGTGGTGGGATGTGTGTTTTTTATTTGGGGGACTGATGTGTGGATGGATTTTTTGGCTTTCTTTTGCATTTATGTATGTGGATTTATTGAGCATGTGTATGGTTGTATGGGGGCACTACTCCTGCACATGCCTTTCAGCTTGAGGTCTCTGTGTGGTTGTGGGCAAGGAGAGCATGGATGAACATGAACATGATGCATCAAACAACATGGCATCTGTTGTCTCTTTCCAGCTTGATGTACATGGTGAGCGAGCTGTGTTTTTTTTTTTTTTTTTTTTGCCTTCATATTTGTATTAACTTGATCAGTTCTAGGGATACCTGTTTGGTGTAAGTTATTTTATTATGCATGTACAGTAGGTGAGCACTGTGTCTGTTATACCAGCTTTCAACATTGTTAGGCAGTGTTGCAGTGCAGCATGTTGTGATGTGTTTTGAGTTGACTGCTTGAAGTTTTGTAAATTTAATGACTTATATTTTTGGATATGTATGCTAAATGGTGACACATTAACAAAAGTATGGCCAATATAACATAGATATAAAATCATATCGTAGGGATGCAAAATAATATCTGCACATCATCAGTATCAGCTGATATTAGCTTAAAATCGAACTATTGGAAACTCCAAATTTGTCACATATCAATATTGGGTCATGGACTTTCCACGTCGATGTATGTCATGCAAGCTATCCTGGGTGCATTGGTTGTTGACATTCAGTGATGCCATGTCAACTTCAGCCTGAAACATGCATTGTCTGTTTTCAAAATACACTTCCATTTTCACAGGTAGTGTACAGACTGCATACAATCTCTTTCAAAATAAACACACTATGTCAGTACAACACCTAAAATCGACTCTTTTTTTCCCCTTTAACAACAAACGCACGTGGTTACATTTAGCCAACACACACACGTGGTTGGGTTTAGGAAAAAAGAACAGGGTTTGGCTTTACAATCTTAAGTGACATGAACACTGGCCTCCCGGCTAAAAGTCAGAGGTTTTTGGGCCCATCAACCGTCTCTCTGGTCCACCCTACTCGGACTTCCGCCCCCTAACTTTTGTTGTTGTGCTGCTGTGTTTCTTCTTGTCACTGCTGGGTACCATTAAAAAATAACTGCAACTGGCCACAAATCATGACGACGTGAAATGACAGCTTTTTTGTCGGTGTCTGACGCTGGGGGTCACTGACCAATTGGCTATTTTTGACGACTTCAGAGTGAGACCTTGTTAAAGTCAGCCAACATGCTTATAATATCAGCACGATATCAGTATTGGCAGATATTGGCTTTAACACATACTGTCAGAATAAGTCAGCGTACTTTTTCTTATTTTGCACAATGAATGAATATTACATAAATTGAAAAGCATTCTGTTTCATGTCTCCATCTGCTGGTGGGCCATAACAATAGGTGTATGCATGCATAATATGATGCTAATTCCACTACAGAAGAGACTTGATAATCATTAAAATTAGGTGGGAAAAAAATGGATACATTGATATTGGTTATCGGCCAAATGAGTTGTTATATATCAGCATATTGGATACCAGCAAAAAATCCAGTGATGTGCATCCCTATCATATTGTGATATGAGACTAGATTCTATATCATTTGGGATTTTGAATATGGTAATATGGTGATTGCCCGCAAACATAGTTTGTTTTCCTGGTTCAAAGGCTGGATTAAAGTCAAGTCATCCGTTTTCTTAATTTACTGGGCTTTGCCAGCTATGTCAAGTGAAAGGTCCATATTAGTCCTGGGTTTTTGTTGGCTGTAAATATCAACTGAAGGTATTGGCCAGCTCTCTATAGTAGCAGAATCCAGCTGCATCTTTTCAACAGTGCTGCATGACTGTAGATGAAGTCATGATCCTTTTTGCTAAAAATGTGTTCCTTAAGTGTATTTGGACTGAAAAATAAATAATAATTAAATATATGGATAATTAAATATGCAGTGCTGCCTTGTAAATGACTCCCTGTCATCACAATTTTGGCCGTCTATTTTTCAATCTCTTCCTTCCTGTTGCAATGTGCCATCCCTTCCCTTCTTCTGTCATTTTTCCTGCTTCTTCTCTTCCTTCTTCTGCGGCTCCTGCAGACTGATGTTCTGTCTCATCACCTCCAGAGGAACCTTATTTACCTGGACAGCCAGGTGAGGACTTCTGAGCTTACTCCTGTCTGTCTCCATTTCTCCAAGTCCAAAATATAAAATTTGAATGAGACAAAATAATTTGTGACACATTGGAACTCTCAACCCTTAGTTCTCCCTTGATGGAGGCTTAGTTATGTCATCTAACTTATGTCATCTTCTATACAACTTACATGCATGTACATACTGTATATGATAATCTCTGTTTTATACATCTTTTTCTGTCTCTATTTCTGTTATCTTTTTCTTTACCCAGAATCCTGTAATCTGAGTTTAAAACTTAAGATTGCTCTAGCTGCTTTTCAGCCTTAACATAGCAGGTTTAAGTCTTTTGTGCAGTTTCTAAATGCCTGTCATTTCTTTCTGTGTTGATTTAGGTACTGTAAAACTTCAATTAAAAGCCGGGCCCCAATTAAATGCAGTCCCTTTTACCAGTTGGGTGTGGCTACGCATTTTGACAAATAAACACAGGTTTCAAGCAGATGCTGTGAAATGGTTCATATTTATAGATGATCTTTGGGTGTATAAAACCTCATGAAACCCACTAGGTCATCAGCTACCAATGCATTCCCATCCCAACTGGTCAAATACCGCTGCCTTGTCAATGGACGTAAACATCAAAATATGACATGCTAAATAGCCTCCTGCATCAGTTTTGGATGTTCTGGGCAGTGTGTCAATTAAAGGTTGATACATGCAATGTGTCTTTTCAAAATACACCTCTGTTTGCATGTTACATGCATACAGTCTTTTCCAAAATAAACTCTAAGTAAAACACTTTGGTTTTAGGTTTATTTCCTCACATTTCTTATTAAAATAACTCAACTGACTTATGGTTTCACACACGAAATGAACAGCCAGCTCCCAGGTGACTGTCAAGAATTTGTTTGACCCATCACCCCTCTCATCCACCCTGTAGGGACTTTCTCATTCTTTATACTACAGTAGTTGACAGTGGTATTAGAAACTGCTGCCGGCCGGTGTGTGTCATAATGCTGCCAAAGGGGCATTGACAAAGCGGCAGTATTTGATGAGTTTGGTTGTTACCCACTGCATCAATAACTGCTGCTGCCTGGTGCGTATCATCCCACTGTGAAAGGTGCCTCTGTATGTCAGTATCTTATGTCAAGATTACTGACAAGGTGGTGTTATTTGATGAGTTGGCAATGAGAAAAGGCTGCAGCTACCTGCTTAAGCTAGTTTTAAGATGCTTACATCACAATATAAATGTCTAAACTTTTGTCAGTATGAACATGTTATACATCATTAGCTTGTTAGAGTATCCACAATCCAGTTGTTCAGTATGATTTACAAAAACCATGAGCATCAAAACATAATTTGCTCAGATTGACCTGCATGGTAAACAAGAAAGAGGAAAAAAGCAAAAGGGGTGATTCCCTTCCTTGTCATGAACTCCAAATATATGTTAATTCCTCCATTATTTGTATTCCTTTAGTCCATGAGGGTCCACCGGTCAAAAGAATCAAACTTTCTTTTTTTTTGAGCTTCACATAGATGCACTGTCTTTTCCAGCTAGATTAAAGGAATGATTTGTAATCGATATGTTATTTGGTAGCCTAATTTTTATACCTGTAATATTCATACTGGTTTAATTGACACTTTGACTGCATTTCTCATCTTTGCTGAGCAACAGTTTTGTGCAAAAGGAATTAAAGGCCCATCCTATCTAGACATCTGTCCCAAATAAGCCAGTTAAGCTCAGTGACTGAAGCAAATAAAAGCCCCGGCTATTAATTGATTTTTTATGGTAATCTAGTTAAGCTAGAGGACCATACTGGTGTTTTTCATATTTGAGTCTTTTTATTGTATTGCTGCTGACCATTTTTCAATGCATACCATGCTTTGTTTAAGCTATTAGTTTCACTTGAGTTCAGTGTAATAGTGTCTTGCACTGATTTTTTTTTAAAATGTGGAGATCTGCAGATAGGGCTGCCCTGGCCCTATCGAACCACATCTTGGTAGTTGAATCACTTCACTTGTTTCTAGCTTGGTTGTTTTGTGTAGACAGCATGGCCTTTTACAGAGTCGTACTGCAAAACCAACTGTAATGGAAAAAGAGAAGGTGATGGAAATGCAGAGCCTGTTAGTGAATAAAACTAACTACTTTTGAACCAGACATTGGTACAACCTTCTCTAACTCTTCAGCAACAGAGGTGCTCCGTGATGCGCTAGGATTTTGTAACTAAACCAAAACGCACACTGTATTTGTTGTTAACTGCAGACATCTGATATTTTTACATGATGGATGATGATGAAAGCCACTATAATTTGAGTCTTGCATATGAGACTGTCATGTAGGCTGTTGTAGTTTAGTGTAGGGTAGCTGCTCTACAGGTGCACTAGACTGTAGTGACTAAACAGTGGACATGAAAAATATGTTTCTCACAATCGTAGGTGAGGTCTATTCATGAAAACATCTTGATGTTAATATTGTGTATTTTTTGCAGACATATCTATCAATAAGAAAAGGCAGAAACCACAAAGCACATGACAAAAGAAAATGCAAAAGTGAGGGGACCCCACTTTTGGGACATCACTTTTAGGTGTGGTTACAGTTGCTACAGAGCACATCTCTGACCACAGCCAGCAGTAATTCTGTGTGTGAGTATATTTCAACCAAAGAGGGCAATGAAACACATTTTTTTAAGCGTAGGCTGAAAAAACTCAAATCCAATGGTAAACCTACATAGTGCTGATCAAATATGAACCAAGATTCTATTACTGTGTTACCTATTTCTTGCCTCAAATGTTTTCAGAAAAAATATTTTAGCTTACTGTATAACTGTTATCCGAGATCATTGGTTACTAGCCAGTTGCCATACTGTTTTCTGTGGAAAGCGGCCAAGCACGCATTATGTTACCCACCAGCTGGAATGTTTAGTGATCCAATGCAGCACAGTGCATTCTAGTAGCTGTAGGTTTTCTACCCCTTGAGCAAAAGTAAATGCCACATTTCTTTTCCTCTGTTTTCTCTGGTCACATAGCACCAATTTCAAAAGTATTTCTACTGCATTGACAACCCAGTTTTATGAAAAATTTGTTTGATTAGAATTGTCTTGAATAGAAACAGAATAGTGTGATGTTTCGCTGCTGGGCAGAGGCAGCGAATGCTGTGCATCAGAAAAGTACGCCCCTATTATTTTCAATGTACAACCCCACACTGGCGGCGGCAAGACACGTGTCGCTGCTCCTGGATGCCCCACGGCACTTCACCCCACTGTCCTATTTCCAGCCCCTAGAATTAAATGCATTTTCCCCCACTTTCTCTCTGCTGGTGCATACCAGCTCCCGTAGCAACTCTTTTTCTCTGCTCCTATGGCAGCTCGATTCCTCTTCTCACGATTGATGTACAAAGAGAACTCTGGAACTGTTGCTCTGTCTGGTGTGACAAAGAATGATTGAGGAGAGAATCGTTGTTGAGAAATATCCCAAGCTAAATGACCCACAAACCTGCCATCGTAAAGATGTTGGCCAAAACGATATTGCCTGGCAAGTCATAGCTCTGGGGATCGGCTCTTTAGGTGAGAAAATCAAGTGTAAGTGTGTGGGATTCTCCACACATGATTTTAAGCTAATGCAGAGGTGGAGGAAATACAGATCTTTTAGTAAGGTAGTAATACATTTGCGTGGTGATCTGTTGATGAGCTGCAGCACAACACGTCCAGTGTGTGCTAGGGGTGGCTGTTGAAATGCAGCGCTGCGGCAGTGCTGGTGTGCTTTCAGCTCAAGTGTTTGTCATGTTCTGACAATAAATAATAGTATACAAAGTATAACGAGTCTGTTTGAGGAGATGTTCTTCTTCCTTTAGAGCTTCAGTCCAAGTATTAATACCCAGGAAATGACTGAGGATGAGTTAATGTACATCAAAAGTAGTGGAACAATCCACTTACTTTTTAGCCTGTTTATTCCAAATCGTGTATACTACCATTTTCCAAACCATTTCTTAAATAAATATTGTCCACTTCCAAATCAGTGCTTTGGAAAATGCTCATCACCAGTATCAAGTTTAGATATTTGTAAAAACTTGGCTTATGCAAAACCACAGGAATGGTCCTTAAATATGTGTTAAATCAGTTAGTTGATCAGTGAGTGTTAGGTAAGGGTTTATCATTAAATGTTAACAATAAGCCAGAGAGCAGTAAACTGCCCCTTACAGAGTGGTGTTTATCCTGGGTTTTTAAAAAGGACTAGGTTTATTCCCACTCCGGTTCCTGGTTATCAGCCATCAAACAGGGGCTGGTCCTTCAAGCAATGTCTTCTGCTGTGTTATTACACCATTGTATCCTCTTTCTCCTTGGCGCTTCGCTAGATGAAGGAGAATGAGCCTCTAATCTTCATGATTCACACTATGATCGAGAACTCTGCACCAAGACCGCAACTCTATCACCAAGTAAGGTCCTTGGCAGGTTCTGGCTTGAGTTGGGGTCAAGACAGTCCATTTGTCTTTTGACTTCAGTATCTGTGATGTTGAGTCAAAAACCTTTTGAAATTTTCAATTTAATCATTTGTAAAGGCTTTCACAAATCAAGAATCATGTTTGTAATCTTACATTTTGGGTTAAAACTTGAAAGCACCTAAATTTGAGTTTTGAGGTTTTTGCTTAACATCAAGTAGGCTACATTTCAGTTTACTTAGATTGAAGAGTTCCACACAAAGTATGTGTACATTAAAGCTAACAATAATTCCAGTAAGCTTGGGGTTTGTTTTCTCAAAATGGACATCCCTGTTGTGTGTAAGCGAACTCTTGAATTTTAACTTTACTGAGATGGAGCAGACTCAAACCAGACCTTTGCCCTGGTAGCCCACATCTTCTTCTTCACCATCTACCTGTTGTTTCACCGCTGTGGATGTAGACAGTCCATTTCTAAACCTGTTGTTAATCAGCAAACACTCTCAGACATCATCATAGCATTTTTTGAAGTGTATATAAAGTTGTTTTTGGTTCAGTGCATCTCATTTCACAGCTTTCTGTTTGATGCTGTTGTAAGTGACATCAAGCTAGCATGGCTTATGGTACTGTATAATGCCACATAGCCATGGATTTCTTTTCTCACTGTCTGTCTTTATACAGCACTGTTCATTGTTGTCATCACTGTGGAAATGCGTATACTGTTTGGATGTGTTTGTCTTAAAGTGGGGATAAAGCACTGACCAATATGACTGTGGTTCCTTTGATTTTTACCTTGGGCAAGATATGACACTGCAGTCAAATTTAATACCCACCTAGATTTACTAGAAAAATAGATAGTGTTTCACTTTTTCACCAGCAGGGCACAGCCATCTTACAGCAAGCTAGCTGGTGACATCATGGGAATGGTTGTTACTGAGTGATGAGCACAGCACTGTACTTCAGACTAGCTAAGTGTTGATACAGTGGAGTCTGACAGTTTTGATGAGATACAAAGTTAAAAACTAACTGCCTATACTTTTTTAGCCAATAAGACCAAATATAGTGGTAAGACCTGTTCCCATGGAGTCAGAAAACAGCAGCCAAAGTCTCCAACAAGCTGTCAGAACACAACAACATCTATGCTTATAATGTTACGTTAATGTTTTTACATTGTAGCTAATGTAGCTAAAGTTAGCCTAGCCCAGTGGTCACATCCACAATCCACTTTATATCATGATTAACATCCCTCCCACCAAGAAAAAAGTTATGATTCACCATTAGAACAACTGTCTGGGTTGAGCACCACTTCAACTTGTTTCATTTCCCTATGTGTGTCACAGTAGATAGCTGGTGGTGCCAGTACGGTTTTGCGTTCATGAGCCCATTCTCTTCTCAGGACAAAACAGACTATTATCCTTGATGTGGAGATACTGCTGAGATCCTGCTGGCTTTTCAGTAAAATTTGGGAAACAAAGAGCAACCTCCTCAGTGAGAGAATTATATTAAATTTTAGGCTGGTTGATGCTAGTTGATGTTTTACTCTGTTTACTCCTCATCGCTTTCATAATGGCTCCTCTCTCTGTAAAAGTAATCCCAGACTCCAATCCTTCTGTTAGAACAGCAAGTAAACTGGACCTGCACCCTATGCCTTCACTGCCAATGCAACACCGGCAATGCGTGTGTCCCCCAGTGACGGCAGTGTCAGAAGCTGGCCCTATTCTAAGGCATCATTCATGCCAAGTCTCAGCCTACTTATTTTGGCATGCTGAGTTTGGGCCAATGCTGGGCCAGGTCATTTTTGACAACGGCCCAGTGATAGCAATGTCAGCAACCAGAATCGGGCCAGCTGATTTTGCCCGATTCTGGGGCATCATTTATGTTGGTTCTCAGCCAAGTCGGGCAATCAGACGTAGCCAGACTTATTTCTTCTGACCTGCCAAGTTTGGGCCAATGCTGGGCCAGGTCATTTTTGACAACAGCCCAGTGATGGCAGTGTCAGCAGCAGGAATAGGGCTAGCTGATTTAGCCCAATTCTGGGGCATCATTCATGCCAAGTTTCAGCAGAGTCAGGCAATCAATCAATCAATCAATCAATCAATCAATTTTATTTATAAAGCCCAATATCACAAATCACAATTTGCCTCAGAGGGCTTTACAGCATATGACATCCCTGTGTCCTTAGGACCCTCGCAGCTGATAAGGAAAAACTCCCCCCCAAAAAAACCTTTAACGGGGAAAAGAAATGGTAGAAACCTCAGGAAGAGCAACTGAGGAGGGATCCCTCTTCCAGGACGGACAGACGTGCAATAGATGTCGCACAGAACAGATCAACATAATAAATGAACAGTAATACGTATGACACAATGAGACAGAAAGAAAGACAGAGACAGAGAGAGATGCAGAACAGACGGTAATGACAGTAGTTTACAACAACATTAATTAAAGTAATAATATTATAATTCTAATTATGGCTATTGTGGTACAATATGTTGAAAGTATATATTAAAACCTGATAGTATACATATGTGACAATAATCATGTGTATAATAACAGTAGAAGCAAAGGAGAGAGAGAGAGAGAGAAGGAGAGAGAGAGAAGGAGAGAAGGAGAGAGAGCTCGGTGTATTATAGGAGGTCCCCCGGCAGGCTAGGCCTAAGTCAGCCTAACTAGGGGCTGGTACAAGGCAAGCTTGAGCCAGCCCTAACTATAAGCTTTATCAAAAAGGAAAGTCTTCAGTCTAGTCTTAAATGTGGAGATGGTGTCTGCCTCCCGGACCAAAACAGGAAGATGATTCCACAGGAGAGGAGCCTGATAGCTGAAGGCTCTGGCTCCTGATCTACTGTGGTGACTTTAGGGACCACGAGTAACCCTGCATTCTCAGAGCGCAATGTTCTGGTGGGATAATAGGGCACTATGAGCTCTCTAAGATATGACGGAGCCTGACCATTTAAAGCTTTGTAAGTTAAGAGTAGGATATTAAATTCAGTTCTGGATTTTACAGGGAGCCAGTGCAGAGAAGCTAAAACAGGAGAAATATGATCTTGTTTCTTAGTTCATGTTAGTACATGTGCCACTGCGTTCTGAATTAGCTGGAGAGTTTTTAAAGACTTATTAGAGCTACCTGATAATAGGGAGTTACAGTAATCCAGCCTAGAGGTAACAAATGCATGGACCAATTTTTCTGCATCTTATCGGGTCAGGATAGGCCTAATTTTTGCAATATTACGCAGATGAAAAAATGCAGTCTGTGAGGTTTGTTTTAAATGAGAATTAAAAGACAAATCTTGATCAAATGTTACTCCGAGGTTTCTTACGGTAGTGCTAGAGGCCAAAGCAATGCCATCCAGAGAAACTATGTCATCAGATAAAGAGTCTCTAAGTTGTTGTTCAGTTTTGTCTGAATTTAACATCAGGAAATTGGTGCTCATCCAGGTTTTTATGTCTTTAAGGCATTTTTGAAGTTTAGTTAATTGATTCCTTTCTTCTGGCTTTATTGATAAATACAATTGTGTATCAACAGCATAACAATGGAAATTTACAGAGTGATTTCTAATGATGTTACTTAAGGGAAGCATATATAGAGTGAATAGGATTGGTCCGAGTACAGAAACTTGTGGAACTCCAAAACAAACTTTAGTATGTAGAGATGATTCATCATTAACATGAACAAACTGAAAACAATCAGATAAATAAGATTTAAACCAGCTGAGTGCAGAACCTTTTAGGCCAATTAAATGTTCCAGTCTCTGTAGCAGAATTTGATGGTCAATTGTGTCAAATGCCACACTAAGATCTAATAAAACAAGTACAGAGACAAGTCCTTTGTCTAAAGCAATCCGAAGATCATTTGTAATTTTAACTAGTGCTGTCTCAGTGCTATGATGCACTTTAAATCCTGTCTGAAATTCTTCTATGTGGCATTATTCTGACTACTTTCTCAAGGATCTTTGAAAGAAAGGGAAGATTAGATATTGGTCTATAGTTGGCTAACACCTCTGGATCCACAGTGGGCTTTTTTAGAAGAGGTTTAACTACAGCTACCTTAAAGGACTGTGGTACATAGCCTGTTAATAAAGATATATTGATCATGTCTAATATGTGAGTGTTAACTAAATGTAAGACTTCCTTAAGTAGCCTAGTTGGGATGGGGTCTAAGAGACACTTTGATGATTTAGATGAAGAAATCATTGCCATTAATTCAGGAATTCGGAAATCGGGGAGAAGCTATAGGTCTTACGGCTGTGTTTGAGGGCAGACTGGTTCTGTTTGTGGGCTGGAGGTCATGAATTTTGGCTCTAATAGTTAGAATTTTGTCATTAAAAAAGCTCATAAAATCATTACTGCTAAGGGCTAAAGGAATACAAGGCTCAATTGAGCTTTGACTCTCAGTCAGCCTAGCTACAGTGCTGAAAAGAAACCTGGGGTTGTTCTTATTTTCTTCTATTAATGCTGAGTAATAGTTTGCTCTGGCATTGTGGAGACCCCTCTTTGTTCCCAGACTAAACGAGATTCTTCCAGTTTGGTTAATCGGCAATTTTCACGATATTTGTTTTAACTTTTGGGTTTGAGAGTTGTACCAGGGAGCGAACATTCTTTGCTTTGTTAACTTCTTTGTTCGAGTCGTGTGTTGTTCGCAGCGAGCCTGCAGCGCTATAGACAAGATGATCAATTTGGGAGTTAAAAGTCGGTACGGGAAACCTCTGTTACAGAAGGACATGGTATTGAATTCAACGTCGATGGAATCTTTGCCTTAAATTTTGCGACAGCACTATCTGATAAACATCTAGTATAGTAACTGTTGCTGAGTGGCGTATAATCGAGTAAAAAGAAATCAGAAGTTATTAAATAATGATCTGATAGAGAGGGATACTGTGGAAAGACTGTTAAAGAGGTTATCAATTTCAATTCCATACGTCAGAACTAGATCAAGGGTATGGTTAAAACAGTGAGTGGGTTTATGTACACCCTGACTGAAGCCAGTGGAGTCTAATAATGAGATA